TCAGATCAGATCCATTAATACTTAGAGGAAATACAAATTTTTTTCTTTTTGGTGAGGAAGATCAGCCCTGAGCTAACATCTATTGCTAATCCTCCTCCTTTTTTTCCCCAAAGCCCCAGTAGATAGTTGTATGTCATAGTTGCACATCCTTCTAGTTGCTGTATGTGGGACACCGCCTCAGCATGGCCGGACAAGTGGTGCGTCGGTGTGCGCCCGGGATCCAAACCCGGGCCACCAGTAGCGGAGCCTGCGCACTTAACCGCTAAGCCACGGGGCCGGCCCCAGAAGAAATACAAATTTAAAGTGTGAAATATCACTGTTTTCTTATCATAGTGGCACAGATTTAAAAAAGGGCTGTGACCCAGTGATGGTGAAATAGGGACACAGTTATTCTCAGGTGCTATTTGGGGATGGCAGGAGGTTGTAAATGAGGTGGTACATTCTTTCTGCGAGGCAGTTTGGTGGTATGCATCAAAAGCCTTAAAAAAGTAAACACCTTTATCCACAATTCCACTTACTGGATTTAACCAAAGAAAATAATTAGACAAGCAAGCAAAGATACATATACAAGCTGTTTGTTTTAACATTGATTATAAATGAACAAAATTGCAAGAGACCTAAATATCCAAGAGTAGGAGATAATAACTGAATAAATAAATTATGTGTAGGATGTACACTTAAATATGGAATACTATATATATAGCCATGAAGAATGATTATGTAGGGGCCGGCCCGGTGGCACAAGCGGTTAAGTGTGCATGCTCCACTTTGGCGGCCCAGGGTTTGCAGGTCCGGATCCCGGGTGCGCACTGACACACCACTTGGTAAGCCATGCTGTGGCGGCATCCCATATAAAGTAGAGGAAGATGGGCACGCATGTTAGCTCAGGGCCACTCTTCCTCAAGAAAAGAGGGGAGGATTGGCATCGGGTGTTAGCTCAGGGCTAGTCCTCCTCACAAAAAAAAAAAAAAGAAATACATGTAGCCAGAAGTCTAGAAGGTTATATACTGAAATATTAACGGTAGTTAATTAGACCATAGAATTAAGGATTTTTTTTCTGTCTTTCCTAAATTTTTATATAAGGAATATTTATGGTATGATAAATTTTTTAAACAGCATATAGTATTTTTTTTTTGTGAGGAAGATCAGCCCTATGCTAACATCTGCCAATCCTCCTCTTTTTTTGCTGCGGAAGACTGGCCCTGGGCTAACATCCATGCCCATCTTCCTCCACTTTATATGGTACGCAGCCACAGCATGGCTTGCCAAGCGGTGTGTCGGTGCATGCCCAGGATCCGAACTGGCGAACCCCAGGCCGCCGCAGTGGAGCGCGCGCACTTAACCGCTTGCGCCACCGGGCTGGCCCCCAGCATATAGTATTTTGTAGTTGAGAAGTAACTAGAAGATTATTAGTGAGTCTAAATCAAATTTAATATCAAATGTTGAGTAGATGACCACATCCATTGCTTGCTAAGTATTTTGTGTTGCATAAACTAAATTCCTTGGAGTTTCATTTACTGGATAAAAATATGCACTTTGAAGTAAATAGTTCACTAGACTTTCCATTTATTCTTTTTTTCCCCAAATTAATCTCTGATTAGACCCAGTCATGATGCTGTGGGGAATCTCTGTGCATCCACGCCACGCCCACAAATGTGCAGTGCAGTCATTCTGGTTCTTGATAATCGTGCTACTGTGACCTCCACCCCTGTAGGAAATGATTGTTCTTAAAAAGTATTAGTTTATCTTCCATAAAATAAGTCTAGACTCTTAAGTTGAAAGGCATGTTTGTGCTTTTACTTTCAGACTGTAGAATGTGAAGAAGGAAGTGAAGATGATGAATCCCTTCGAGAAATGGTGGAACTGGCTGCACAGAGACTGTATGAGGCCCTTACACCAGTTCATTGATAACCTTCTGTCTCTATATATGTTACAACTTTGTTTTCATTGCCTCTACTTCTGTTACTTAAAATAAAATACATTAGTTTCTCTGGGGTAGCCTGTTTACTTTGACATCAGATGGACCTCATTCCAATAGCTGGAATACTGCTAAATTACCAACTAATTTGTCCATCATTCTAGAACTGCTAAATAAACTGCCCGTTATCTTACAATTGATTGATTCCACTTCCAGCCATGTTTGTACCTCTCATTGAAACCTTAGGGACCTGCTCACAGCGACTGAAGCAGAATGTCTTATTGTACTTTTTAACAAAATACACGATGGTTTGTATTTTCATATCCATATTCTGAATTTGAATGAATAATTAGGGATGATCACTTAAAGTTTTAAGCCTCTTCTATTTCTTCCCTCCTGGTATTCTTGCCAAATTCCTTAATTTATACGTTTGTAAAATTATGACTTTCAGGATTCAATAATATTTTCTTTGTATACTATATACACATTCAATTCAGAGATATTCAGAATATAATTTTTATGACTCAAATTCAAGGGTATTCAAGTGTCAGTTGTTCAGTGGTTTCATGTGTAAATTAATCATTAATCCAGTTTTCTGAAGTACGTGTAATTCAGACTTGCAAATAACTGGACACAGGAATGTCTGGTGCTGTGTGCTGAGGGAGCAGGTCGACTGCTAGGGGCTTCTTCAGCATCTCCTTCAATGAAAAGGTCTGATCGTTACCTCTCTGGAGGGAATGAATACATGCATAAGCTAGCTCCTCACCTTCACAGCCTAACTTACAAGCTGCTAACATTCACCGTCAAGCTAAAGTTATCAGTCATCTACAGGCACTGAATTCCACCGACACTGTCTGGTCCTCATCTTGCGTCACCTCCTGGTCACTTATCACCGTTGACTATTCCTTCCCTGTGCTTTCATGACAAACTTCAATGCGTGAATCTGACTTTTTTAACTTGAAATACATTTATTTCTGTAACATGGCCTACTTTGGCCCAAACCAAAGGTCTAGGGTCACCTTTTATAAGTGTCATATAAGATTTTATTACAATAGATTTTAAAATTTCTAAGTTTCAAAAAATACACACTTGTAATATCTTCACAATACAGAATATACTTAGCAAAAAGGGGAAGTGCCCTGACCCCCAGTCCCTCTCCCTGAGGTAACCAGTTTGAGTTAAAGATTCTAAATTGCTCTTGAATCTGCCCTTGTCTTATCTCCACTGTGGCTTTTTGAGCCCAACACATCCTCTTCCCTCTGGTTCCTGCCACAACCTCCCTTCTCCTCTCCCTATAGTTGATTCCTACAATACACAGATCTGACCTCAAACCTCCCCTGCTGAAAATCCCTCATTGTAACTAGGGCTTCTTCACTGTAATTAGGATGAAGTCCAAACACCTTAACTTGGCCTAACAGGGCTTCTCAACCTTGGCTGCACATTGGAATCACCTGCAGAGCATTAAAAATACACTGATGCCCATGTGTTACCATCAGAAGTTAAGTTCAGGCCGGCCCCGTGGCTTAGCGGTTAAGTGTGCGCACTCCGCTACTGGCGGCCCGGGGTTCGGATCCCGGGCGCGCACCAACGCACCGCTTCTCCGGCCATCCTGAGGCCGCGTCCCACATACAGCAACTAGAAGGATGTGCAACTATGACACACAACTATCTACTGGGGCTTTGGGGAAAAAAAAGGAGGAGGATTGGCAATAGATGTTAGCTCAGAGCCAGTCTTCCTCAGCAAGAGGAGGAGGATTAGCATGGGTGTTAGCTCAGGGCTGATCTTACACACACGCAAAAAAAAGAAGTTAGTCTGGAGTGAGGGTCCTGTATCAGCACATATTTTCAAAGCTCCCCAGATGAAGCCAGGGAACTACCACCCTGAAGATGTGGTCACACTCTATCACCCTACCTGCGTCTCCAGCTCCAGCCATTCTCCTGACAGCCTGCGTCCAGCCACACGATTTCCAGTGTGCACTGCTCCCCTTGCTCTTCTGGTTTTCACCTGAAGCTCAGCTGTTTGAGGACATCCTTCCGGCCCGTTTTTCATTAAGGCTGTCACACTTCGTGCCATGGTTGGGGTGACAAGGACTCGCCTTTGAACAAACCTGAGCCAGGCTCCTCTGAGTCTTCTCTGACTAGGCCCCCACCTTGGGCTCTGTCCTTTGCCCCTTTGGTCCAGTTTTAGCAAGACTCCTGCTGAGTCAACCTAGCGAAATCCCCCATCCTCGGTCTGATCCCCCTGGATATCTGCTCAAATCCTCATCCCCCACCAGCTGATAGCTGATCATCTGGCCCGCCTTCAGCAAGAGTCCCGTTAGGTCACTTTAGCAAAGAATTGCCCTACCTCTTAGTAATTTTACATCCACCTGACCCCTCACCCTGCTCCTGGCTATAAATCCCCACTTTCCTTTACTGTGTTCAGGTTGAGCCTAATCGCTCTCCCCTACTGCAAAACCCCATCGCAGTAGTCCGTGAATAGTCAGCCTCACTGTCACTAGCAAATGTCATGAGTAAGTTTTTCTTGAACAGAAGTCAAAACCTCCGATAAATGGCTGAGGAAATAAGTTTTATTTCCAAGAGACGGTTGTGGGATGAATGGATCCCTTGGAAGTCCTTCCTGCGGTTCCTTCTTCACACTCGCCATTTGCTGAAACATGTGAACCCGCCTTGGAGCGGTGGGTGGCGCTGGCGCCACATCGCTCTCCTTTCGGGGCTGGTTTCCATCTGGGGAACTGACGGCGACACCGGCAGAGGGCGGGGAGGTGCGCCACCCCTGGGTCTCTCCCGGGGGGCGCCGTGTGCGCCCCGCTGCTAAAAACTCAGGAGGGAAGAGCGAATGAACGCAGGAGGCGGGGCTGTCCCAGAGGCAACAGCTGTCACGTGTCCTAAAAATGACCGGTTGGCCACTGCCGGGGCCCGCCCGAGGAGCCCCGGCGGCGACAGGAACCCGGGACGAAGAGCCCCCAACAGGTGCAGGAGACAGGAAGGCATCGGAGCGCGCAGGCGCCTCCCAGACCTGGGCGGCCCCGCCCCCGCCGCCCGCCGCCCGCCGGATATCCGGTCTGCCCCGCCCCCGCTGGCCGCGCCATGGCGCTGTGCGAGGCGGCGGGCTGCGGGAGCTCTCTGCTGTGGCCGCGGGTGTTGCTCTTCGGAGACTCCATCACCCAGGTAGCGCCGCCGGCCCCGTCGGATTCAAACGGCCCGTCTCTCGGGCGTCCTCGGCCGCGGCCTCAGGCCCCCGGCGACGCCCCCGCGGGAGCCCGGCTTCCTCACGGGCTGCGGGCCCGCTCTCCCCGCCCCGGTGTCTCCCGTCTGTCCCGAGGCTGCGGAGCCGCCGCCCTGCACCCCGCTCCCCCGCGGAGGCGCCCCACGGCTGGGCGCCCCCGAGGGACCTCACAGGACCGTCGGGTCCCAGCCGCTCCGTCCCGTGGTCACACCCTGGCAGTGGGTCCCGTTTCTGCCTGTTCGCAGCCTCAGGGACAGTGACGTCCCCGCGGTGACGGCACGGGTCACGCGGTGCTCGCTCACACGTGCGCCTCCTCGGAGGGGTGCCCTGCTTTCCGGACGAGCCGAGGCGCGGGAAGGGACCTGGCCGGGCCCCGCCCTGGGACGGACGGACCCTGCGTGCGCTGCTCTGTCCTCCGCGTCCTTTGTCGTAGGGCTTTTAGGAAGAGCTGGTACGAGGCGAGTTGTTTTCCTCCTGGTGCTTCCTCGTCGGTGGCACTGCTCTTCCGCGAACACTGCCTGGTACCCGCGCGGAGCCTCCCGGGAGGCCCCGCACCGAGCGCGGTGGCGGCCGCGTCGCTCCCTGCGCTGTTGCTGCAGCCCGTGCCTGCAGGGCACGCGCCCCCGCCTCGCCCCTGCGCTCCCCTGCTGGGGCAGGTCCGTCTTGAAACAGGTGCCTCGAAGAGTAAAAAACAGAAGGCCGTCTTCTCACCCAAGATCATTTCAGCTCATATTAAGGAAAAACATATGTTCTTACTTCAGAGAGGGAGGAGTACATTTTAAAAATTGCTTTCCCATGGTGTTTTGGGGATTTTTTTTCTTATTTTTCTCACATTCGGATGTGACTTCCTAAACCAGTTTTCTAGGAATGTGCCAATAATTGGTAACATTACTTTTAGGCATCTAGAGCAGTAAGGGCTTTCCAAATTCCATGGGAATGTGTATCAAAAAAGTGTTCACTCTCAGTTCTGTGATTAATTTCCTTATTCGGTGTGCCGACTACGGAGAAGCAGTAAAGCATGGACTTCATTTCCTGACGTACGGGGGCTTTTCTCTCTCGTACACAGATTGAAGTAGGTGTTCTAGATAACAGTGCCTGTAATATTAGGTCTCAAAAACATGCAGATGGCGGGCTCAAATCCAGTTCATCGGGAAGAAGCCTTCCCTTATTTCCAGAGTGCTGCTGAGGTGCCGCGGAGAAACCCCTGAAGTGACCTCTGAGCAAAGCGGACGGTCAGGGCCCAGGAGCCGGGGAGTGCAAAGAGAACACCAGAGTTGCTGACCAAAATGTGCCTTATGAAAATGTGCTAGTTACGCTCATAAGTAGTAATGCGCTTTTCTTTCTTCAGTTTTCTTTCCAGCAGGGTGGATGGGGAGCATCACTGGCTGACAAGTTGGTCAGGTGAGAATAGTTCTAGATTGATTCTTGAGTGTTTATTGATGGGAAATGTAATAGCATCTCAGGAGAAGAGAGGGTGAAGGATGCAGTTTCAAACAGTAAGTCCTGCCTTGTTCGTTTTTGCTGGCCTCCCCTAGTTAGTGAATATGCAGGGTTGAGGGAGAGGAGGAGGAAGGGCTGGCACTCAGGGTTCAGTAAAAGCTTCGCCACTGTGCAAAATCAAACCCTAAAAGTTGTGAAAGATACATTAGGGGTTTGGATCCAATAAATTCGGCTATTCACCACATAAAAAAGAAAAGTTCTTTTTGAGTTATTATGGTGGATGTGATTTAAATGATTAGTGAGTTCAACTGAAAGAAAGTAAAATACATTCTTAAGCCAAAGTTGGATTCATTTTTGGATAATTTTTCCCCCAAATGCTGTTTATAAAATATATCAGAAATAGTGATGATTTTGGTATTTTATGTGTCAAACAATTTAATCATATGCTAAGGAAGTCATTAAAAGGGAAGTAATGTCCCAGTTCAAGAGGTTAAAAAATAAATATTTTCCACATTAAAAACAGTAGACATGAGGGGCTGGCCTGGTGGCGTAGCTGTTAAGTTCGGGTGTTCCACTTTGGCCGCCCAGGGTTCGCCTGGGCGAGGACCTACTCACTGCTCATCAAGCCATGCTGAGGCAGCGTCTCATATAGAAGAGCTACAGCTCTACCACTGTGATACACAACTATGTACTGGGGCTTTGGGGAGAAAAAGGAAGATTGGCAACAGATGTTAGCACAGGGCCAATCTTTCTCAAAAAATAAATAAATAAGATGCAGATTCCTGGGCTTTGCTTCATACCTGATTCCCACCAGAGGAGAGGCCTAGGAATGTGTATTAAAAAAAAACAGTAGACATGAGTATTTGTCTTTGGGGTATCAGTAAACTGATGGGCAGGAGTTTTGTCTTTTCCTCCTTTAGAAGAAATAATAAACTGCATCTACTACCAGCTTATCATTACTTGATAATTTTCTTCATCAGTATAATTAACACACCAAGAAAATATCTTTTAAGTTATTTCTAAATTTGAAATGTGCTTTAAAATGTCTTTACTTTCTCCTTCATTTTTATCCCCTAAACTGGAAATGAAATATTAACCCTCCAGCTTTTTCTGTTCCAGAATCCTTTCTCTATTTAAGTGGACTTAATCTAAAAACATGAAAGTATTATTTCATTCCTCAATTTTCTTTTCTGTAAAATGGGAGGATTATAATAGCTATAATAGGTGGGGGGGAATGAGCTAATGTGTGCTTGCTTAGTCAGGTGCCTGGGACATAAGTGCTCAGTAAATATTAGCTTTTATTTTTAGTAATCCAGTTTCTGTTTAATTAGTCCATTAACCTTTTCTGAACAAGTAGAAGATCTCAAAAAGCTAAATAATTATTCAAATTGCCTGAAAAACTCCAGGCATTTCGAATGTTTCACCAACATGTAAATGTTTCATAAATAGTTAATATTTTTAGTACTAAAATCTTGTCAATTGATAGTTTAGAGGTGTGATTGCTAGAAGACCACTTAATTAGAAACTAGTTATTTTTCAGAATTGAGAGTAATTACAGGAAGAGACAAAGTTGTAGATAGTGTATGGTCTGCTAAGCCTTATTTATGTAACTTTTTTTTTTTAATTTTTATTTATTTATTTTTTCCCCCAAAGCCCCAGTACATAGTTGTATGTCATAGCTGTACATCCTTCTAGTTGCTGTATGTGGGACGCGGCCTCAGCATGGCCGGAGAAGCAGTGTGTCGGTGCACGCCCGGGATCCGAACCCGGTTCGCCAGCAGCGGAGTGCGCGCACTTAACTGCTAAGCCATGGGGCAGGCGCCATGTAACTTCTTAAGATCTATGTAACATCTTGTTGAGGCACAAAGCACAAAGCTGAGTGGCTGTCAGCTGACCCCACAAGGAGGCCTCACCTGGGTGAATTCTCCCCTGTTCTGGCTCCACCGCAGAGAATGCCTCCCTCTCCTGGGCGCACTCGCCTCAACCAAGCTCACAGGAGCCTATTAGGAACTCAGATGCCCCAAGGGAACAAAAGATAGAACCCAGGCAGCGTGGAACACACACACTGGCATACTGAGCCCATGTTCTTCCAACAGGCAGATCTACGTGAGAAACTGGGAGGCTGTGTGGGGAGCCAAGGGACATAGGGACGCTGGAGGGTTGACCGGCATCATCTGCATTCACTGCTGAGGGACCAGACAATCCAAGTCCACCCTCCTTTTTTAGCATCAGAACAGACGCTTCTTGCTGTTCCACACTGCGCAGCTGCCCTTTTGATGGACATGTTCAGTCTTGAGCTAATGCTAAAGGACCTGGGCCCCAGCGTCTGCTTCAGCCAGTGCACAGCCCTGAACTGATTCATAGTGCTTCCATTTAACCTAGTTTCCGAGTTTTAAAGTTATGAAGAGATACCCCACTGTAACTGCCCTTCTGTACTGCCTAGATGGATAGTAATAAATTTAAAATATATAATTGTTTCCCATAGTGATATCTTTAAGTTTTAGCTTTTTTTAATACCTTTTTTTTTTGAGGAAGATTGGCCCTGTGCCAAGATCTGTTGCCAAGCTTCCTCTTTTTCTTCTTTCTCCCCAAAGCCCCAGCATATAGTTGTGTATCATAGTTGTAGAGCTGTAGCTCTTCTATGTGGGACGCCACCTCAGCATGGCTTGATGAGCAGTGAGTAGGTCGGCACCCAGGATCTAAACCCTCGAACCCCCGGGCCACCAAAGCAGAACGGGCGAACTTAACTACTATGCCACCGGGCCGGACCCTAAGTTTTAGCTTTATTTTTTTAATTTTTTTTGTGTGTGAGGAAGACTACCCCTGAGCTAACATCTGATGCCAATCCTCCTCTTTTTCTTTTTTGTTTGCTGAGGAAGACTGGCCCTGGGCTAACATCTGCCCATCTTCCTCTCATTTATATGGGACACCTGCCACAGCATGGCTTGACAAGCGATGTGTGAGTGTGTGCTCGGGATCCAAACCTGCCAACCCCAGGCCGCCGAAGCGGAGCATGCGCACTTAACCGCTATGCCACCAGGCCGGCCCTGAGTTTTAGCTTTAAATAAGATCTTTGTATACTCATTACAAAAGCATTTTAACAATTCTAAATCCATTTAAATGATTTTAAAATTTATTGATTATTTTCATCAATTTTTTTAGCCTTATCCAAGTATTTCTTTAATCAAAAATACTTGGTTTGAAGGAGTTAGAATAAACTCACCTTTTTCAGTTTTTAAAATGCTTCTGCTGTTTGCTTTTAAAGATATGCCCTTGCCTGTTGCCATTTGTAAAACACCTAATTTACACTTTTTCTGGAAGACAGTCTTACAGAGCACAGATGTTTTGGAAGGCATCTTAGATAGTTCTTATCCTTTTCCCATCTTCATCTGAACTTAAATACCTGTTATTAGGCATGAATTTAAGTAAAAGCCTTTCTTAATTTTCCAGTTTCTTTAGCCTTTTAAATAACTTGGGCACTATTGATTGTTCATTCCAGAGACGTTCAGACATTCTTCCCCCCTCAGAAGGGAGCCTTAACAGTTTCAACCCTGGGCCTCACCAGCACTTTTTTCCTGGTTCACAGCCTTATGATTTCTTTAAATCTATTATGGCTGCCATTTATTGAGCTCCTTACATCTGTCTGGCCACTACATTACTTTTTTTAATCTTCGCACAACCTGCCAGATTAGGTATTAGTGTTCATCTTGTACATTTGGGAGACTGAGGCTCAGAGGAATTGAGTAAATGGCCAAGGCCTCATTGCTAGTCACTGGTGGTACGATGCGGGCCTTGGCCGCTCTGATTCCAGGCCTTGCGGTATTACTGCTGCATCACAGGGGCCTTACGGAGGAAGCAGTTTTGCCTTTTGTTTTTCAAGTGCTGTAGTGACTTAAACCATTGGATGGATGTAAGACAGACTCACCTTGTCCAAATTCGAGAGTATTCCATTTTAAAGTATTGTAAGTGGAGTCTTGAAAATGGCTAGTCAGCTTTTTTTTTTCTTTTTGCTGAGGAAGATTGGCCCTGAGCTAAAATCTGTGCCCACCTTCCTCTATTTCATATGTGGGATGCCTGCCACAGCATGGCTTGATAAGCAGTGTGTAGGTCCACACCCGGGATCCGAACCCAAGAACCCCTGGGCCACTGAAGCAGAGTGCACGAACTTAACCACTGCATCACCAGGCTGGCCCTTATTGACCACGTTAAACATCTATAGACATTCCCAGGGTCACAGCTGAGTGAGGAGCTGGGATACAAACCCAGGCAACCAGCTCAAGATCCGTAGTTTGGTTTTTCATTATACCCTATAGTACTGTGAGTCAAATCATATATTTTTAAGAAGGAAAAAAATACCTGTTAATGAACTGCTTTAAACTGATACACAACTAATATATTTACTAAATTATTGAATCAAAACAAAACCATTGTGTGATAATGATGTGTCAATGTAGGTTTATCACTTGTAACAAATGTCCCACTCTGGTGGGGGATGTTTTTTATTTATATTTTTTATTTTTTTAATTTTTTTTTTAACTTTATTTATTTATTTCCCCCAAAGCCCCAGTAGATAGTTGTATGTCATAGCTGCACATCCCTCTAGTTGCTGTATGTGGGACGCAGCCTCAGCATGGCCGGAGAAGCGGTGCGTTGGTGCGCGCCCGGGATCCGAACCTGGGCTGCCAGCAGCGGAGCATGCGCACTTAACCACTAAGCCATGGGGCCGGCCCAGTTTTTTAAATTCTTTGTGAGGAAGACCAGCCCTGAGCTAACATCCAATGCCAATCCTCCACTTTTTTTTGCTGAGGAAGACTGGCCCTGGGCTAACATCCTTGCCTCATCTTCCTTCACTTTATATGGGACGCTGCCACAGCATGGCTTGACAAGCGGTGCGTCAGTGTGCACCCAGGGTCCGAACCTGCGAACCCCGGGCTGCTGCAGCGGAGCGTGCACTTAACAACTGCGCCACCAGGCTGGCCCCTGGTGGGGAATGTTGATAGTGGAGGAGGCTGTGGATGAGTTGGGGCACAGGGTATATCGGAAATCTCTGTACCTTCTGCTCAATTTTGCTGTAAACCTGAAACTCCTCTAAAAAAAATGGTCTATTAAAAAGTCTCAAAAATATTCTGTACACTTAGCCCAAGCTAAACAAACGATTGTTATATATGAGTTCCAGCTTATCAGTGACCTTCTACCTAAGATACTTGCTCAGATTAATACCTGTGTGCTGTGAACTCCATTTTAAAATTACCCCACTGACTGTGCATGAAATCAGCTAGTCTGCAGACTAAATCATAGCCCCTTTGTGAGTATTCATAACCGCTCCCGTTGAGGAATGTGATAGATTTACCTCTGTCTTGGAACAGCTTAAGGAGGACTAGCATGCTTTATGTTATTGCTCTTGTCAGAGTGAAACCTGGGCAGCATCAGAGCCATGTGGCATCAGCAGGGTATTACAAACCTGCAGAGCACACCCTCACTAAAGGTTGCTACAGGGAACTGGAAACAGTTCTTTGCCCACAATTCATCCTCTTAAAATTTTTCTTTTCAGAAGATGTGATGTTCTGAATCGTGGATTTTCAGGTTACAATACCAGATGGGCCAAAATTATCCTTCCAAGATTAATCCGGAAAGGCAACAGTTTGGACAACCCAGTAGCAGTTACAATTTTCTTTGGTGCCAATGACAGTGCATTAAAAGGTAAAAGGATTTTTGTGTTTTCCTAGTTCATTTTTAATTGTTTTTACATTACAGCAAACTTAATTTTATATACCTTTTTCAACTGTTTACTTATCTCCCAGTAGATAGTTTTGCCAAATTTATAATGAATTCCTTGAGTTTACTTATGTGTATTTCTTCTGGCTTTAATGTCACTGGATTTTATTCCCAACTTATTTTCTACATGCCTGGGTTGTTGGCAGACCTAAAATTTCCAACACTGTAATGTTTTCTAGAATCCTGTACTGCTCTGCTAAATTTCTAATGTTTTTCCTCTTTAGTTGACGTAGTTGGCAGCAGAGGGCTCAAATTGTCCGCCTTGCAGTGTGGATCACACTGATGGCAAAGGCGCTCAGGGCAACAGCCCCCTGACCCGGTGCAGACTTGAATCCTGGGTGACGGTAAACGGGTTTGTAACAGGAGACATCTCTCCGTGTTTTCCGGAGAATTACTGCTGTGACTAGAGGAAAAACTGGCCATGCGAAGGCCTTTCTCTCTTCCCTTCCTACTCTTGAAAGGAGAGCCCTCTGCAGGGATAAAGGAGAAAAGTCAGGGCCGGCCCCGTGGCTTGGTGGTTAAGTGAGCGCGCTCCACTGCTGGCGACCCGGGTTCGGATCCCGGGCTCGCACCGACGCGCTGCTTCTCCGGCCATGCTGAGGCCGCGTCCCACATACAGCAACTAGAAGGATGTGCAGCTGTGACACACAACTATCTACTGGGGCTTTGGGGGGAAAAAATAAATAAATAAAATCTTTAAAAAAAAAAAAGGAGAAAAGTCAACCTTTATTTTGGAAAGTTGGCTAGTCAGCTGCCAGAGGTTTCTTCCGGCCCCGACTTCCCTCCCAGCAGTGGCATGGTCTGCTCTTCACAGGCACACTGTGGGGGCCATCTCAGGTGAGCCTGGAGATAAAGGAACAACTGCCAACTGCGGTGCAAGGAATTCCTGCCACCTATGAAAAAGATGATATAAATGACAGGTATTAGTAGAGACTGTAAGTTAACTGTTTGGATGAGTCAGATCTTCATTTACTTCTTATACCAAAAACTGTAAGAAAAACCCCCCCAAATAGAAGTTTTTAAAAAGGTGAATTTTTATCAAATTTAGGACAAGGAAAAACACTTTCTAAGCATAAAATCAATTGCAAGGAAATTGCAAAGGAAAAAATATAGGTTTATGAAATAAATTTAAAATAGCTTATGTCGGGCTGGCCCCGTGGCTTAGCAGTTAGGTGCACGCGCTCCACTGCTGGCGGCCCAGGTTCGGATCCCGGGCGCGCACCGACGCACCGCTTCTCTGGCCATGGTGAGGCCATGTCCCACATACAGCAACTGGAAGGATGTGCAGCTATGACATACAACTATCTACTGGGGCTTTGGGGGAAAAATAAATAAAATTAAAAAAAAGAAAGTACACCTACCTTTTAAAAAATAAAATAAAATAGCTTATGTCAAAAAAACTGTAAAAAAAGACACATTGAGGAAAATATTGGCAAAAATATGGCAGACAAAAGGTTCATGTCATTAATGTAGAAATCAATTAGAAAAATATTAACTCTGATAAAAAATAGGCAAAGGCAGGAACAGATAATTCACAAAAGGAGAAATTTAACAGCCAATACATGTTTGAAAATGCGTAAAAACTTCAATTATCCAAAAAATGCAAATTAAAACAAGGAATTTTGGTTTTTGACTCTCAAATAGGAAAGCAGTTTTAAGCAATGATACTTAACAGCTGACAAGTGTGGAATAAGATGGGCACTTGCTTACCTTACTGCTGGGGAAACCTGTTGTAATCTTTCTGGAAAGCTCTTTGGTGGCAATCAGCAAGAGACTTCCCTCGTCTAGAAACCCAGCCTAAGGAAATACTCAGTAATGCAGCCAGGTACATGTGCAAAGATTTCTATCCCTTGTTATTTACAATAGCAAAAAATTAGAATGCTGCATAGTAAGGAAGTAGAAGCATCAGTTGTGGTCACCCTACAACTAAACACCATGTTTTGTTTACATGGACACAGATGCTCAAAACGTTATGTGAAAAAAGCATGGTATGGTCGTATATCTTCAGTGTGATCTTTTTTTTTTTTTTTTTTTGAGTATACATATCTACATGGAAAAGACTGGAAAGAAGTACATCCAAGTGCTAACAGTGGTTTTCTGGGTGGTAGGATCATGAATGATTTTATTTTTCTCCTATAATTGTACTTACATGTGGCTTGCAAAAGGCCTGCACTGAGCCTTGTAATACCCACGTGTGAGCCCATCCAGAAATGATCCTTTGCAGCCATAGTAGCAGTAGTGGCAATAGCTGACATTTACTTGCCAAGTGCTTCCTTTGTGGCAGGCCTCTTGCTCTAAGTGCCGTACACACTTTGCTAACTTAATTTTCACAACAACCCCATGAGGTAGACCCTATTATCATCCTCATTTTATCAGTAAGGAAACTGAGGTACAGAAAGGTGGAGCGTTCATCCAAGGGCATGGAGCTGGTTAGTGACGAGCGAGGAGAGAGCCTGGGCAGTCTGCCCCCACAGCCTGGGCTGCTGTTCCTTTACAAATTCAGCCCAATCCATTAATAACAGCGTGGCCACTAGAGGAGAAAAGACGAGAGTACTCACAAGGCCCCGAGCCAGAGCCTTTGAAGTCTGTTTTACGAAGAACCCTGTACTTGAATTCTTCCCCCTTCTCTTTCTGAAGTATCGTGTTCCTCCTGAACAGATGAGAACCCCAAGCAACACATCCCTCTGGATGAGTACGTCTCGAATTTAAAGAGCATGGTGCAGTACCTGAAGTCTGTGGATGTCCCTGAGAACAGGGTCATTCTCATCACTCCGCCCCCTCTCTGTGAGACCGCGTGGGAGAAGGAGTGCCTCATGCAGGGTAAACACCGCCAGCACAGTCTTACCAGACCTTCTGTGAGTGCCCCGAGACGACCTTAGATGGCACAGTGGTTTCCAGTCTGTGGGCCTCAGGTTTCAGGGCTCTGTAAATCCATATTGTTTATGTTTTCCATCAGTAGAAGTTAAACAGAACATGTATACCTTTCATCACGTCACACTCGAGAGCTTTTTGACATAGAAGAGGGATTCTCGCTTTGGACGAGCGAGCCTCAGAAAAGTCAGATAAACTGCAGTTCCCTGCGTGGTGCTGAGGCCCAGGATGTGTATGCGCTTTGGCACTGAAGTCCACATTTGGGGTGTTTTCCTGACTTTACAGCAGTGGGACTTTACTGCACCTGGTTGCCCATTTCCGTCTGTACATGGCCCTCCTCCACTCTGCCTTGCCTTGCCTCCCTTGCCTTGCCTCGCCTCCCTCGCCTGTGACACCTCCCTTCAGCAATGGGACTTTTCTATTTCCCCAAAAGCAAAGGCTCCTCTGCAGGCTCACAGGCACAGAGGCACTCAAGTGCAAGGGCGCTTCCACTTCACTTGTGACTGAGTGACTGAATGCAGCTCTTGGGCGTGCCAACACCAGGCTTCTGCCTCGGTACCACCAGAGGCACTTTTGTCCCCACAAACTGTTCATCTTTGCACCTTTATATACTATGCCAGGACCTGGCCAGATGCTCAGCATACAGAAATGACTAGAACCCAGTTCCTGCCTGTTGGGCTAGTGAGGGAGACAGTCACGTAAACAGATATTTGCAGCAGTGTAATAAATGGTATAATAGAGGTATTAATAAAGATCTATTGAAAGTACCCAAGCAGAATCCAGAGATGTCGAGGAAAGCTCCTCAAAGGAGGTAAATAGGGAAAGTTTACCATGGAGAGAAGAATATATAGGGAGGAGGGAGCCAGGTCAGCTGTCGTCAGATATTTGAAGGGTGCTGTCACAGAAGGATGAATTAAACACTGTTGTCAGCTCCAGAGGGCAAAGTGAGGACCCCCAGTGGGCGTCATCTGAGGCAGATTTTAGCTCCTAAGTGTTCTGCCTTGCATCAGCGATTGCTCATGAGTTAGTAAGTCCATTGTTGCAGGAAACGTTCATGCTAAGCCTGGATGACCAGAGGTGTGCAAGTTAGAACTGCATTAATGCTTTTCAAATTGCAGGTCACAACCCATCCATGGATCATAAAACCAAGTGAGTTACCGATTTCTTAATTCTATTCCATTAAAAACAAATGTATCTAGAAGGCAGTGGGCGCTGTTTTGTGAGACTTTTTTGCTTATATAGATGTGCATGTATTGCTGCTGTAAAACATATTGATTACTTTAGTTTTAGCCAGGTTTGTGAGCCATCAGACCATGTGTGGTTCTTGTCTGGTCCTAGATTAGCAGGTCAACATCACCTGGGGACTTGGTAGAACTGCAAATTCTTGGACTCATCCCAGACCTGCTAGATCAGAACTCTAGGGGTGAAGCCCAGTAAGTCCTCCAGGTGATTCTGATTATGTTCAAGTTTGAGAATCACTGCATTAGACTGGAGGTTGGCAAACTATGGCCCACGGCTACAACGAATAAAGTTCTGTTGGGAGACAGCCAGGCCGACTTTTTATGTGTGGTCTGTGGCTAGTTGTGAACTACAGTGGCAGGGTTCAATAGTTGCCAGCATAGACCATATGCCCGCAAAGCCTAAAATATTTACTATCCAGCCTTTTGCAGAGAAAGGTTGCAAACCCCCAAGTTAGCCTAAGCGACCTCTGTGGTCCCTTCCAGCTCTCACCTCCTCTGGTTGAAAGTCTACAAATGATTTTTCCACTATATTGCAGTGGCTTCTCATTACCTATAAAAACTCAGGAGTCTCAGGACAACATTCCTCTCCAACATACCCCTTACTAGCCACCAGTCCAACTCCATTCACCTCTGGCCTGCACTTTAGCCCCTAGGCCTCTCCTGCCTCTGGACCTCTGTTCACAGTGCCCTTAGAATGGCCCACTGCGGTGACCACTAATGGCTCCCTTGTCTCCGTGGTGCTTGGTCCTGCACTAGGCAGAGCAGCACACTAGTATCCTTGTGTTCCCCACCCCCCATGGCTGGCCTGAGTTGGGTCCATAAGTCCATGTCTGTTTACTTGAACTGAGAAACCATCCAGGTCAGTAGAACCTGCACAAGGACCAGGACTTGGGTTTATCAGTTGCCACCTGGATTTTCTCTCATCAATAGGTTGCAAATTAAATCGCCTGAACTTGGTTGTTGGTGAATATGCCAGTGCCTGTTTACGAGTAGCCCAAGACTGTGGGACTGATGTGCTTGACTTGTGGACCCTGATGCAGAAGGACAGTCAGGTATGGTGGCTTGCTTGGTCCTGTCAGGGTGAGTAGATCCCACAGAAGTGACCCAGCCATGTGTGGTTCTGCCTAGAGCAGCCGTGGGAAGGTAAGATAGTTGTCTCTTTCACCCATTAAAACAAGTCGGGTGGAGGGGAGGAGCTGGAGAGGCTCCGGGACAGCTTGCAGACGCAGCACCTTATTCAGCCTTGCTCCTTAGCTGCATTCAACAGCTTGCATCACACTGTTAGCGTGTAGTGAAATAAATGAGCAATAACTGGTTCATATTTAAGAACATCCAAGCCAAGTTCTTTTATAATATGGAGTGGGGGGAAATTAAAACTCGTTAACAGGCAAAACAATGAATTTAATAATATGGTATTAGCTAAAATTGCTATTTTGAGATATGTAGTTCTATTTAAATAAGTCTGTTTTGAAGCCAGAAAGCCCCTTATAAATAAAAAAAGTAAAAGGCTGGTCCCTGTGGAGAATGGTACAGCCACTCAGAAAGACAGCCTGACAGTTTCCTGTACAGTTACACACACTTATCTAGGACCCAGCAGTGCCACCCTGGGGTGTTTACCCAGAGAAGTGAAAACTTGTGTTTCAGTCTTGCTCTGAAACCTTGACTAGACTTGACCCCTTCGTGGGTTCCCAGCTCAGGAGCAGCTTGAGTGCTAAAGGGGATAGCATCTGGAGTTCTGTTTTTGTCTGCGTTCAACTTCCATCTGAGGTGGTTTGGAAAAGTTGTGCCACTAAAGGAAACTGCAAACTATTGGGCGAGCTGTTCTTACAAAGTCCTTTTAGATTTAACACACTAGGATTTTCCTTTTAGGTCAGATGGTCTCGAACGGAAGAGATGAGAAAACTAAGGCCCTTGAGAAGTGCAGTTAGAATGGGAATCCCTATGTGGCCGGCCCGGTGGTGCAAGCAGTTAGGTGCACTCACTCTGCTGTGGTGGCCTGGAGTTCGCAGGTTGGATCCTGGGCATGCACTGACGCGCTGCTTGCCAAGCCTTGCTATGGCGGCGTCCCATATAAAGTAGAGGAAGATGGGCACAGATGTTAGCTCAGGGCTGATCTTCCTCAGACACACACACAAAAAAGAATGGGAATCCCTAGTCTGTAAAAGTCATCAACTAGCTGGCCACCTAGGTTCTAATGAAGGATAGGAGGCAGTGCGCTTGCTTAGGGAAAAGATGCTTCCCCAAAGGAGAAAGGGCTCTAATGGTAAATGTTCCTGAGATCAGGGCATGGGGGGGACTGGACTCTTGTATTCTAGCAGTTCTTCTAGGCTGGATGGTACAAGTTCTTTCCACCTAACAACTTGTCTAAATTTAATACCTAGACTAAGAGTCAAAGCCATTTTGACACACTGGGCCCTGAGCTCTTTTAACACTTTTTTTTTTTTTTTTGGTTTTGGTTGATTACATTAATGAACCATATTCACTCATGAAGCCTCTTCTTCCACCTGATGCCCTGGAACGATGTCTCAGCTCAGGTTTTATGAAGCTCAGTCTATAATATGTAGATAATCTACATCTCTGCAAAGGGCCTGTGGGCATTTGCTGAGATAACGCAAACAGCACCCAGATGCTACTACAGTTCCCGAAGACTGCTGGTCAGGTGCTAGAAACAAGGGGCTGACGATTTGCCAGTCGGGGGAGAATAGTACACACCAGCATTTAGAAAACTTACATGCTTTTAAGTGAGTTCTCTCTCTCTTACAGGACTTTCCGTCCTATTTGTCAGATGGACTACATTTATCACCAAAGGGAAATGAGTTTTTGTTTTCCCATCTTTGGCCTTTGATTGAGAAGAAAGTCTCTTCCTTGCCTTTGCTGCTCCCATACTGGAGAGATGTAGCAGAAGCAAAACCAGAACTAAGTCTTCTTGGTGATGGAGATCATTAGTCAGTCAGAGAAAACCAAGTCTGGCTGTTAATTTACAGAATGAGAAGTCACCGATGTGCAACGATCCCAAGATAAGCAATCAAAGAATATTTTTTGTTTCAAGATTAAACCTTTCCTCATGACCCTGGAACAAGAAAACGCTAACATCTGCCACCAAGATTAATAAAAGCATTAGAATTTTTCAGGGAAGCTTTGTACCTAGGTACATTGTATTTTGATAATAAATATTTATTGATTGATCCAGGTGTCATGAGTGCCAAGGCTACAAAATATACCCTGAGCAGCTTGTTAATTCTATAAACGGAAAAAAGGTAAAGACAGTTTTTTTAAAAAGTCACAATTTTATAAAAAATGGTTCTTACATCCAGCTGAGAACTGTTTCACTCTCATACATACACGCACACTCACCTTAGATCAGATTCCAAAAGTGTAATTAAAATATAAGAATATTGTGACTAGTTAAAAGACAGCAAATACCACAAGGTACAAGTTCAAGTATTAGTGTAACAGGTATCTGTATAACATCCTTAGAAAAAAGACGGTTTGTCACAGGTTTAGTTAATTACCCTCAAAGTTTATATAAATTATCTCAGTTAAAATGTGTTGGCTGGTGAGCACATTTCAGCACTTAGGAGGAAGGAAAAAAAGCTTTTAACTACAATTTTAAAGAGATTTAATCTGATGAGTCTTATCCTTCACACAGTAAATGCAGACATCCAGAATCCTGAAGCACTAAAGCAAGAAGGAATGCAGATGTCCACATGCAGGTCAATACACAGGGTTTTTAAGAAATCAGTTAGTGTGGGGGAAGAAGCCCCAGGCCCAAGGGAGGCAGCATGTCACACTGCAGCCCACTGAAAACCACCTGCTATTTTGGTAAGATACAGTACCCTCTTGGCCACTAGTGTTTGAAAAGAGGCGACCATACACTCTTACTTTGAAGTAGTTTAGGTTTTGTGAATGGTGAATTTAAGAGCATGGCAACATTATTAGAGATACATGAAGATACATACAAAACAGAAAAACTACCCAGCAAATTAGGGCCTTAAACAGTTGGCAGGATTCTGTAAATGCAATTTGGCTACTATTTGTAACCCTCACTATAAGGTAGATTGTTTTAATTCTAGAAAGTACAAACCTTAGAATTAAGAAACATTAACCCAAATTATTCCTAAATTTAGATGTGTAAATCTCCCCACTGCTAAAAGCTCTAATAGCATAGAAACAATCCACGTTTTGGAGATAATGTATAACTCGGTTTTATCTCCTTTGTCTTTCCTTGAAGGCAAAAAATAAATAAATCTGTGTTCCAGTTGTCCTCACAAGTAACTGCTAAATGCCTCCTCATATTCAGCGGATTACAGTGTATAAAAAAGAAAAAATTGATCATCTCCCTAATCAGTGCTGTTATCAATATAAAAGGTTAATTTACAAAAACGTAAATATTCATAACCTAATCCAGCTGTATTTTCTGCTTTTGCACCACAGGTTGAAGGATATTTTAAAGATCAAAAAAACTAAAACCTGAAAGCCTCAAAATAAGCTAGATTCCACCTTACCTCTCCAAAAGGAAAAAGGCCTAACCACAAGTATTACATATGTGAAGGAAGGTCCGAACACATGACCAGCATCTGCTGTGAAGTCACTTCCTTATTTCTCCCAAATCTTCACAAAGTATATGCAGTGATTTTAGGTCAAATCTATAAAAATGTTTTGCACACTTGAGTCACAGAGCTTAGAACATAACTCCCTAAACTAGCACTCAGTTTCTTTGCTGTCAACACGATTCTGACGCTGCAACTTAAAGGATGAGGCCTTTTCACTTCTCGTCACCGGATGGTCCGTGAGGTCCTCAAACGACTTGGCAGCTGTGCTGCTATTTGGGAAGGGGTCCTTCTCAAAGCCATCCTCATCCACATGCGAGTCTGTGCTGGGGTCTTCCTGGATGGTGTCCATCCGCTGGTGGTCCAGTTTCGGAGCCACAGGCACCGAAGGCAGCACAGGGGTGGGCTGCAGGAGCTGCAGGCGGCCTGGGGTCTGGGGGGCAGGAAAGGGCTTGATGATGCGAACCGAGGCTGAATCCATGCTGCTTAGCATTTCAACATTCTGGAAAGACATGGGAGTAAAAGATGAATCACAGGTCCCTCAGCTCCGCCCTGACCAACCAAATGGCCTTACACTGTAGGTGCTGTGATCCTGCTAAGGAACACCCTCAACCTAAGAGGTGACTCAAACAGTTAGCTTTCAGATGTCCTGACAACTTGCCATTTGAAGACCCAAAACAGAACTTATAAGAAACAACCCTATCAAGTTCAGTTCCCAAGACAGGAAAAGATCTCAAATAGTAAACTAAGTCAGTCAGTGCTGAACAGCTAAGTCATTCACAGCTGTGGGGAGGGGCAGAGCAGCACTCCTGTTTAAATCTCCATCCATGCAACAGGGTTGCATGCAACAAGTTCATTGTCACAGCTGTCACGAGAATGGACCTTAACATCCAACCTAGATCCTTCCTGCTGCAATGACCTTCCACCAGCCAAAGAAGGCGCAGCTGGAAAGGCTGACGGTTCTTGCTGAGGTGGCCAACTGAAGGTCTCAAAGTGCAACTGAATGACTGTTTCTTTCATGCGGTATACTTACACTGGGGTGAAACAGAGACAGAGATTCATACTGCTTATCCAGTTTCTTATCCTAGAAAGAAAAGCAGCACAGGGAAAACAGTCATTCATACAAACAATTCAGTTAAGTGCTCTTTCCTTACAGGCTCCTAATATTAACTGAAGAACTTACAACTTGAGTAGTAAAAGTGGGAGCAGATCCAGCAGGTGAGAAAGAATTTCTGATGCAAGCTTTAAGAGTTCTGCCACCAGCCTAAAACTGTTTCCTTTGCACAGGAAGGCATTATGTTTTTTTGGTGTTAAGTAAGGAAATAGGCAAGGTGTAAGTGCTATTTTTCTGACATTACCTCATGGGCAGGAAAAGAAAAGGCATCCCCCTGTGTGCTCAGTGGTTAGGCGTGGGACGCAGGGCACTGCTGACCGGCAGGGCAGCTGGTTGGAAGGCTAAGAGGGCTATGCTTGCTGTCTCAGCTGGCACTAGCTTCAAACTGTCCCAGCCCGCCACGGCCTTAATACTCTTCTCAGCTGTTTCCAGAGTTTCTATGGCCCCAACTCTTAGAGGAACGGGGCCTCAAGTCCCTCCATCATACTTCTGCCAAAAGCTGAACACATGGTTCCGTCCCCTGCCCCTGGTCCCTGCCTGTGGCTGACGTGTAACAGACACCAATCTAGGCCTAGCTTCCAGTCGGGCTGCCCTGGACATACTCTGTGGTCACAAACAAGCCACTGCCCTCCCTTCTGTAGCAGCTTTGCTCAGAAACCCAGGGTCAGACCTCATAGTCCACAACCGTAACTTTCACTGTAAACAAAGTAGGTTCGACTCTCAAGTAAAAGCAGCCACAATGAATGGCACGGTCGCCCATGTCAAAGCTTCAGCCATGTCACCTTTAACACAGCTTTGCTTTAGCAGAGCTGTTCCCTAGAGATTGTCCTCCCCACACCCATCATGCTCACCACCCTGAGGAAAAGCTGCTCAGTGAGACGGCCCAGGCAAGAGAAGCCAGCAGGAAAGGAGAGGAAGCAGAGGCGGTGAAGATGCATGAGAGTCAGCTGTGCTGGAATTTTCCAAGTGCTCATATGAGGGGCATTGCATAAGAGCTTGAGAGTGCAAGTGTGGAAGCCTGGGTCTGATTTCCTCATCTCTACAGCAGACAAATCCTCATTTTCCCATAGAAGCAAGGAGAATGGACTCCGAAGAGAATTTCTGAAAAAGGGCCCCAAGTTTATACAGTACCTGGAGTTCCTCAGACAAAGCCCAATTCAACTTGTTAACTGTTAACTCATTTTGAACGAGAATAAAAAAGATTGCCCACTCTTATCAGTTGGAAAGATTTGAATACCCTATACGATAATGCCAAGAATCTATATGGTGCAGGGATATCATCTTTGGAATGCTCGTGTTTGATACTTGCTCTGTTAAAGCAAAATCAGCCTGAAAATGCTCTTGTTTAGAAGCATCACTCATCAGAGGTCCTAGATAAATCCAATTAAACGGTCTCCTGTGCTTAGAAGTGCAAAATTCCTCAGAAACTATACATGAGAAAAAAAATCTACACACGGAAAGTATAACTCTTTTAAAAGACTATTAGCAAAAAAAAGAAAAAAGAAAAGACTATTAGCTAAGCTTTTAACATTTTTTTCTTTTACGTTTTTTTTTTATTCCTAGGGATAACACGAAAAAAAAATGTCATCGGAAACATCAGATTTTGCTAAGAACAAATTTCATCTTTTCTATAGGTTATATGGTTGGAGTTGCTCAAAATTTTAATACAATGTTTCATTAATTAAAAATTGGTGACTTACCACACAATGGACAAGAATGCTGAAAGGAATCCAAAATATCAAGGAGAAAACCAGGACGGAACCTACGATGTTGTCTGCTAAAAACTTCCCTGTAACAATTCCAAACAGTGAATGTCTTGATCAAACACTTAGAAATCTAAAATTAAATGCTCTTAGTGTATTACCAGTGTGTCAAATGCCACAGACTTCTTGCTAGATAAAGTGACCCAGTACTGAAAGGAGTGTCTGTGCCACCTATACTAGACCTGACCACCTCCCTACACCACGGTGCTTTTCCAGAAATAGCCCTGATACACTTGATGAGAAGAAAAGATTACATCACAGAGTGCTCAACAGGATCCCTGGAGTAATGGTGTCAGCGGACTGATCAACAGAAGGCTACGACCAGTAACGATGTTGAAGATGAGGGTGTTGTTGCTATCTGGGTATTATTATTTTTGTGACAAACTATAAATTATGTACCCTAGAGGACATAATACATCCTTGCTTCTGCAAAATCTGATGCCCACTTTTAAATAAACAATTCTTACATCAAACAGGATTCAGATTTACAGTCTATAGGACTGAACCATGCTTACGCTGTCATGTGTTCATTTTTTAATAAAGAAGGAAGCCAATATTTTGACTAAGTATTGACTTCGCTTGTCTGAAAATCTGTGCATCCATGCTAGACAGGAGCAGACATATAATGGGTCCATTTTATTTTAGCCAACAAAGTTGTTTCAAAACAAAAGCAGTGACTTATTTCCATCTTCTATTCCAGAATTAGAGCATATCAGTCTGACACCACACTTTCTAATGTCATCACCAAAATCAGCTCAGTTCTAAGCAAACAATCACCTGGGGAAATCACCTACCAAAAGTATTGATGCTCAGCTGGTCAATGAAGTCCCAAAATCGCTCGATGACATCCTGTACTCGTTTCTCACATTTGCCCTACAAACAGAAAACAGACAGCATTACCCCTAAAAGCAATGCCTTTAGAAGCAATGTGTCTTTATAAAAATAACTGACATGAAAAGGGCTTCATTAAAACCAAGCATCTAGGGGATCCATCTTTCACACAGAGCAATAATTTAAGTGTTTAATGAGCACCTAAGAAAGTAGGATACACTGTCATTGACACTTCTACAATTAGTCAATTTTTACAAGTGAATTTAGAATTACCAGGAGACAAAACTCAAGAAAACCAGTGTGTTAAAGACGGGGCATTCCAGTAAGGACTCCACTGATCACACACACACAAAGTGGGCAGGAAGCACACAACCAGACCGCCTAGAGCAGCCTCTCTAACCCTTACATCCTCCTCCATGACTCTGCGTGAAAACCATTATGTTTCTGTAGAGAACAAAAGGGTCTGACTCAGGTGAGTCAAGGGCCTCTGGGTCTTTCCTACTCGTTCAGCACCTGTTTCAAAATCAAAACTTGCAATTTCACAATCTTAGTCAATTTTATAATCAGCCTAGAAAACCAAATAATTAAGACTCACTGCCTAAATACAATCAACTTTACCAAAAAGTGTCGTCAAGGTCCTGCCCAGTGTCTGGACTCAGGGTTCCCTACTCTGGAGAGAGTGTGCTCCAGTCTCCCAGAGCACTTGGCCTTCTCTTGTCAGGTCACACCCACACACACTTCACCAGACACTCTCACTAACAAGAACAGCGGGTTAGAAAGACACGGCAGCATTTGGGTTTTGATTTTCTTCGATTTGCAAAATCAAGTATTTACAATATAAAAACTTCCTGTCTGGCTGTTACAGAAAGAGCTCTACACAAATAAATACTCACATTCATGTCACAAAATCCTACTGTACAAGGCTTTCCTTTCCTCAAAAACAGGTTCTTCTGTTCAGCATTGACGTAGGGTACACAGCGGCCTGAGGGGTCCCTGCAGCACACCTTGCACGAGTTGTCAGTTTCTGAAACACAGAACGTGACCGACAGCTGGAGTTTCCTGAGAGACACACCTCTCCTCCTTCCCTTCTCACCTCCCCGCCGTGCTCCCAAAGGGGAAGGAATCACATTTATTTTTTATTTCAATAGCTAAGACTATCCACATTTCACTCCCAGGGAGTAACCTGAGTTCACGCTCCTCAGCCCTCACAGCGCCTACAAGGTAAAAACAATTTACAAAGAAAGTTTCCTTTCTTTAATAGATTAAAAGCCAAATTATTCTACTTCAAATCCTTCATAATGCTAAAGGTTTCCCTACATCCCAAGATTCTTATTACACTGCTGATCTCAATCCTTAGCTTCTCAGCTTCAAGTACACCCTGGAGAGCCAGGGCTCCAGCGAGAGCCGCAGCTATGAGAGCACTGCCGCCCTGCAGGGGAGGATCTGAGGGACCCACTGTGACAAGAGCACAGCAGGCTAAACACAGCAACTCCCTCCATCGAGACCAACCTCCGACAGCACATGGGGTAACAGGAAACAAGTGGGCATCAAGTAAGCCATCTGGCACACATACGAATGGCAGAGATGCCCAGAAGTCAACTGGCAGTGTGACTTAAGGGACAGTCTTTACTGACGAGGGAATGTCCATATTTATACTTAGGAGAAATTGAAATCAACTAGAACACAAAAACAAGCAAAACCAATTTAAAGGGAAAACAATCCTTTTCACATTCATTCACTTATCAGGCATCTCCTGGGCATTTACTATGTGCCTTCCAGGGACACAAGCCTCTTGCCACTCACTAGATAAATCACTGATCTGGCATCCACTGTGTTATCTTCTTTATTTACCTGTTATTCCCCCTGGAAGGGCCACTTACTCCATTGACTGTACAGATGGCAAGTTCCCAACCGCATGGTTTTGACTTCTGGGTTTTGTTTTGAAAGCAAGAGAATTCTGTCTGAGGTGAGGTGGGAAGCTTGGAGCCCAGTCAGTCCCGATGCCCCTTCCTCAGACCCAGGGGTTCCAAAGACAGTGTGGAAACCTGAGGACAAACGTCTAAGAGGCCAGAACAACGTCACCAACCATCACTAAGTGAGGCCCCTGCCCCAAGCATCTGGCAGGGAGCAGAGTGCAGCAGATCCAGCCCTGCCAAAGATGGCAAACATCCTGATAGTGGGTCAGATCCTGGGATCGGCTCTCTCTGGCTGAAGTCTTAACAAAGCGTCCTAGTTCAATGCCAGTGGGATGCAGACAGCTCCTGCTGCTTTCACAGTGTGTATGATATGGGGGAAGGAGGGGTGAGGACAGACATCCACATACCTACAACCACAACAACAACTTCTATCCCACCCCCAGCCTGCCACGTGGTCTGAAAACACAGCAAGAAGGAAGAGCGACAGGACAGTTTTCAAAGACAAAGTGGAGGAGCCAGGATCTGAACCCAGAGAGGTCTGCGTCCACACTGCTGGGTTCTCACCACCACCCTGACCAGCAGCGAGCGGCTGACACTGCCAGGCCCCCAAGTGGAAGGAAGGGGCCTGGCAGACACAGGCCATCTTCTCCCCTGCTGCAAGGACACGGAACAGCAATGTGCTCACCGTTACATGCACAGGACTCCAGCCGCTGCTCCCTCTCACAGAAGGGAATGCACTTCCCATCTTTACACTTGCCGAGATCCAAGCACACCGTGTCATCTGCAGCATTTCCGGGAGGGGGGCATTCACTGCTGTTCCCTGGAAGCAGAGGATGGCACACAGGTCACGAGGAGTCACAGCCGCCAGTTCTGCTGGGACATGCCACACTGATCTCAGGAAAGGGAGCACCTCTCCTCCAGAACAGGCAAATCCACAGAGACAGAATGTAGACTAGGGTATGGGTTTCTTTCAGAGGTGATGAAAATGTTCTAAAATTAACTGTGGCAGTGGTTGCACAAACGTGAATATATTAAAAACCACTGAACTGTACACTTTAAACAGGTGAATGGTATGGTATGTTAATTATATCTCACTAAAGGTGTTAGAAAAATCAAACCAAGCAACCCATGGAAACAGAAGGTTATAAAAATTTAAGAATGTACATATACCAGACAAACAGGAACAAAAAAACTGGGGTAGCAAACTGAATATTAAATAAAACAATTTAAGTAAAAAATAAAATCACAAGGGTCAAAAAGGAACATTACATACTGGTAGAAGAATAGCAGATCAAGAAGATATAGAGACTATGTCCAATAATGTACCTAATAATACAGCTTTGAAATTTTTCTTTTTTTTTTTTTGTGAGGAAGATCAGCCCTGAGCTAACATCTGCCGATCCTCCTCTTTTTTTTTTTTAATGCTGAGGAAGACTGGCCCTGGGCTAACATCCGTGCCCATCCTCCTCTACTTTATATGGGACGCCACCACAGCATGGCTTGACAAGCGGTGCGTCGGTGCATGCCCAGGATCTGAACCGGCGAACCCGGGGCCACTGCAGCGGAGCACGCACACTTAACTGCTTGTGCCACCGGGCTGGCCCCACAGCTTTGAAATTTCTAAAGGAACAACTGACAGAACTACAGAAGATAGGGATAATCAATATAGATAGTTTAAAGATTAGCTGCATATGGATTAAAATCCAAAATGTAGAAGGCAAGATTATGAAGCTAATAGAAGCAAATATCTTTGTATTAATGTGAAAAATATCTTTGTAACCATCCACAATTCAAAAAAATAGACACACACACATACAACAAAATGAGACTTGATTACATTAAAATGAAAGATTTCTGTTCCAAGAAGGACAACAGGTAAGAGGGAGGTACATGCAATGTTTACATCAAACTGATTATTATACAAGAACTCCTCCAAATCAATAATAACAAAAAGATATGAAATTTAATTTTTAAAAATGGACCAAATATATGAACTAGCTATTCACAAAAGAAGAAATCTGAATAGCAAATAAACATAAAGAGATGTTCAATAAAAATGTAAATAAGGATGAGAAATCACTTCACACTCATCAGATTGGCAAAAAAGCAGACAACTGGGTAATACAGAGTGCTGGCAAGAACACCAGAATACAAGAACTTGCACACACTAATGGTGGCACCAACAAACCAGTAGTGCTGTTCTAAAGACCACTGGAGTACCTCCCTCTATGACTAAGCAATTCCACTCCTCTGTATGCATCCGGGAAACTCTCACAGCACCCAAAGGAGATGTATGAGGCTGTCTGGTGCACAGAGTCCTATCTGCAGTATCAAGGAGAAAAAGGGAATCCAAGCAGCTATCACATGGTGAATAGAGCAGTAGAATACAGTAAATCACACAAGTAAACATTCAGCAAGTGCCGAAAACAGTCAAGTAGATCCGGACACAGACATGAACAGGCACAGATATATAGCGCAACAGACATGATTTATAAAAGCATGGTATTGAGTTTAAAAAAGATCTAAGGCAGAATATTGTTTTAGCATGTTAAAAACACACATATACACAAAATAACACATTATCTTTCCAAGATATACACATACCAAGACAAATATTCAACACATGAGAACAGATGCCTATGAAGGAGAGGGGAATGGAAGTGATGGGAATGAAGTGAATGAAAGGGAAAGAAACAATAAGAAGAAATAATCACAGGTCCTGCACAGACCAAAGACAAGTGTGCCACAAACTAAGAGAACAATCAACTCAACTCGACATGAGGTTAAAAAAGGGTTGTTTTTATCTTTAACAAAACATAATCTTGGGCCCGCCCCATGGCTTAGCGGTTAAGTGCGCGCACTCTGCTACTGGCGGCCCGGGTTCGGATCCCAGGTGCGCACCGATGCACCGCTTCTCCCGCCATGCTGAGGCCGCGTCCCACATACAGCAACTAGAAGGATGTGCAACTATGACATACAACTATTCACTGGGGCTTTGGGGGGAAAATAAATAAATAAAATTATAAAAACAAACAAACAAACATAATCTCGCTTTCAAACATACACACACGCGCTTGAGCAAAGTATTCCCAGAGAACCGACAGGAGAACATACCTGTGCAGTAAGACACGCCTTTGCAGGTAGCGTTAATAGCCTCCTGGCACTTCTTCTGGGCAGTTTCGAACTGACAGTTTTTACAGCAAGGACTGTTTCTATCACTGAAGAAGAGCAGACAGGGACAGTTCAAATCAAATGACAGCTCACAGCAAACATTACGGTCATATTACAGGGCCCTGAAGATCGCAAGGGAAGGACTTCCAGCTGGGTCACCCACTCCTGCATAATCAGACTTCCCCAGCGCTGGCACCACCCGCATACACTCCATTTGCCCTTCCTAATGTGGAATCAGGCAGCAGCAATGCGGAGAGCAAGTACAAAGGGGTCTAAAGTGACTCGCCTTTAAAACATCTTGGTGTCCTTGGTTTACATTAACTGAACACAGGAATTAACAAAAAAAGACACAAGCCCACAAGGCAATCGGTGCATAAGAAACTAGGCAGCCAGAGCCTACTCCCTCTCAGTATTTACACTGTTGATATGCACAGTATACAGTTCAATCTATTGTTTACCATAAACTGCAGTTTTCCCCTCTACTTCTAAGTCAGGCACTGGTCTATCAGTGGACACAAAAGTGGAAATATAGGTACCTTCTAATCTGTAACCTGCTTCCTCCACATGTAGTTTATGTCATTAAACAGTATTCTACAAACTATTCTATTGTACGGATACACAATTCATTTATATCCCAGGATTATCATTTTGATTGTTTCCAATATTTTGTTATTCTAAAAGAACGTAGCCATGAACATCCTTGTTAAATCATATTTTGTACATCTCTGTTTCCTTAGAAAAGATTCTTTGAACTGTAGCATTGCTATATCCAAGTATGCAAGACTTAGGATTTTGTTACATAATGTGAAACTGCTTTCCAGAAAGCTTTTTTCTTGCTGTAAGGGGGGCTATAGACAACACACACACACAAGGGGGGTACAGACCACACACACACGAGGGGGGTATAGACCACACACACACAGAGGGAGGTATAGACCACACACACACACACACACACACACGGAGGGGGACAGACCACACACACACGGAGGGGGGGACAGACAGACACACACACACACACACACACACACACACTCACTCACTCTCTCCCTCCTACGTGATTCAAAAGCCCTGCATTTCCCTCCGCTGTTCTCCAGACACCCGGCTGGCCTCTCACCTGCACCGCACGCCCGGCTTCAGCGTGCAGTCACTGTTGCAGCAGGTGTCGTTGTTCAGGTACATGATGCCAGGATCACATTCCTCTCCTTCATCCACCCTGGAGTTCCCACACACTTTGTTGCTGCGTTCTTGAAAACACTCCTGGGCCTTACTTGCAATGGTCTTATAGATGGACTGTTTACTGCAGTTTGAAAACATCTTAGGAGACAAAAGGCCACACAGGGCCCAAAATAACATAAAAATTCATTCCCATGTAGTGTCTGTGGTTCTTCTCTAAGGACAAACTCTTAATGTAAAAGCCACAGTCTTGCGGCACTGAGCCCTTAACCTGTGGGACCTGACGCTATCTCCGGGAAGACAGTGTCAGAATTGAGTTAAATTGCAGGACACCCAGTTGGTATCGCAGAGAATCGCTTGGTATGGAGAAAAACCTCCACACATTTGGTGACCAGAAGCATGAGAAGTGAAGCGTGCTATGTGAATAGTAAAGGAGACACAGAGAAGAAACACACAGTAGGGAAGAACTAGGTTTTCCCCTACATAGGAAGGAAAAAACTGAGTAGTTTTTCCCTTACAACCCTCCAAAGTTGACTATGACCTCTGAACCAGATATCAAAAGGATTACTTTTAGAATGATAGCAAAGACTTCATCAACCTCAACAGAGGCCTGGTTATATGAGTCTAGGCCTCAGGTAGTTAGTGTTTTGCTGGATTTATTCACCAGCACTGCAGATTCACGAACTCAATTTTATCAGTTCATTATGGAGATCAGGTCCTAAAGAATTCAAATTCACACTGAACTGAAAAGAAGACCTCTTCATTAATTATCAGTCACACCCCCAAGCAGCTGGACCCCGGAACAGAGCTAAGGGAAAGTGACCACCCTGACCTCTCGCTTTCGTACCTCCACACTCCCTGAAGACCTCGACCGTCTCCTTGAATCCTCACCACACACCCTCCTCTTCCCATCAATAAACCTTCCTAAGAGGTTTACAATCTCTAACGCCATCTGTTCATAGCAAAGCATGTGGCATGTCACTTCTCAGCAGCTTATCTGGTGGAAGGTGCCAGGGTCTGTCTTTTTAGGTCAAGGAACCACCTTATTTTTGTCTAGCAGACCTTTTCGTCTAGTTAAAAACATTTTTATTAAGGAATTCATTTAAAACGTAGATTAGAAGATGCCCAATATCTTTTTACAAGGGGATTGCTACTTGAGTAAACCAAACTATCAGAAAACACACTAAATGTGACGCACTCAGGACAAAATAAATAAATGGATAAATTGTTCTTCATTGACAGACTAGCAGCTCCAGAAAAAAAATGGCTCTGGCCAGGCTCTCTTGTCATTAGCAAGTTCTTACAGGGCCATTTGAAGAGCCCATCAGGGAAATTTCACTTAGGAAAACTTGTAGCAGGAAGAGTCTGCAAAGTAAAACATTTCCCCAAAAGTACCGATACCATCCTCATAACCAAGAAGCAAGTGACTATCAACTAGAGCTGCACTGTCCAATATGGTAGCTACTAGCCATGTGTGGCTATTTAAATTTTTTTTTTTTT